TTGTGTTAAATCCAAATTTAGCGCTTGTGTTGCGTGCAATCCCAGTTGAAAAGAAGGGAATCAAGGAAGCATAGTATTTTCAGTTCCGAATCTAACAAAGTGTGCCTTTCAGCTATTTCTTCTTCTGTTAGCTATCAGCCGTTGTAAATTGATTTTCATCTAATTCTGGAAATATTATAGAAATCTCACGTGTCGCCGATTCTTGGCTATCAGAACCATGACATGCATTACGCGTATCAGACAAACCATACAGTGCGCGTATACAATCTGGGTGGGAATATACAGCCCTGTAAACTTTCGTGGGTCCCATTAGACCGCGCCACTTAGCTATGCTGTCTTTCGATTGTAGGATGAACGCGTGGCAGGGACCGCTAAATGAGAATACATTTTATGAGTCTATGTTATTTGGATCAAAGTCAACGAGAAGAACGGCACCTGCCCATGAATGTAACCAATCTATTGTAGAAGAATTTGCCTTTGTGTTCTGCATAGAAATGTTCCGACAACTGTTTCGTAATATGAACCTCCTTCGAGTGCAGCACGGTGAAGTTTTCCTGAATTATTTGCTTGATCTGCTGGAATGCGTAGACATTGCGAACCACGTGAGGTTTGAGCAACGCCAAAGTGATTTCCATTTATGAAAATGCAATTTTTGTTTTAAATTGCAGCGCAAACAAAATACAAACTTTTCTACAGCTGATTAGAAGTGCAAAAAAAACCGATTGTGACATCGATACATCGATTTTTTTTTTTAATTTTTGGCACAACATCCTTCGCTACCACGGTGCAGCGAACACTACCATTCTTGCTTCGCTACTTGTAAAAGTGATGGTGAGTAGATCGCGAGAAAAAAAGATCGCGCGCTCAAAGAAGGTAAATTTATAAGGGACAACTCGTTCAGCTTGCTACACAGTTCAATGCGAGCGTGAGCTTTTTGTTTTGACCAATATCTTCGTTACTACTTAACTTTTTGTATTAGTTGATACATCACAAGATAGAAAATTAAAATATCTTTCGAATATATAGAATAAAAACTAATTTAAAATGCATAATATGCCTTTTTTCCAGCCCATACTCAACTGTGTGCGTATGCAAAGCATTCGCATGCGATCGCCAAGTTTTGACAGTTAATGCAACCCTGCTCCGCTTCAGCTTTCCGAACAAGTCCGAAAAATCTTCTGTAGAAAAGCGTTTGACATTTGTTATTTATTGATTTTCATACGTCTTCTTTTCGTAATCTGCTGGAAAATAATTTTTGTTTACAAAATATCAAAAAAATACACAAGAAATGGTAACTTTAACAAAATACAATTGACTGCAAATGATTCACTGACAAATCTTTTCAGGCAACGACGGGTAGTGGAAAAAGTTGCTGCAGTGGTAGCGG